TTCTAATCAGATGATGATTCTAAAAATAGCATGGGTTTGGAATCTTTTCACAAACTTCAATTTTTAGGATTCGCTCTTTAACAAAATAAGGCGTTTTCCTGATAAAAAAATATATTAGAATAATATCTTGTGAATTGTGCTAAAGTTGGAAAATAATGTTAACAAAAGTAAATTATTTCAATATCTTTTTTTTAAAAGAGCAGCTTTTTTAAAAGTTAACGGTGTAATATAAGGCTAATATACACATAAGTTTAAACGTCGAAAATAGCGGTTCGAATTTGTTCATTTAAAAAACAAGGCAAGCAGTTGTGGTTTTTGAAGTTGCACTAATATGTATTTATTTTCCCCAATTCAAACAAATTATAAAAAATAAAATGAATAAATAATTTCTTTGTTCATTCTTAGAGAAAAAGGGTGCACTTATTTAATACGTTCAATTAGACGTTTTTCACCGAATAATTTTAATATAGAAAATGCTCTTAAATTCTAATCAGCTAACTGGTTTTAGTTCTGATACTCGAAAAAAAAATTGAAAATAACTTAGAGCCAGTGATAGTTTAAAGAGAGCTTTAATTACAAATAAAAATAAGACAAAATAGATCAGTATATTATCGAGAGAAAAAATCTACGTGGTAGAATAAAAAAGGAATTTCAAAAATATAAAAATATAATGAAGTAATTGGTTGAATAGTTCTGTGAGCCACACGTGACCAGGCGGTTAAAATTTTTTTTTTAAAACTGAGTTGCTATGAGGACGTTATGATACATAAGATACTGAGATATTTTAAGACGCTTAAAAATTTTGGTTACGTATTTGACAGTTCTTTATATTTTTCGTGGTGACTTTTGAAACATCAAAAATATTTCAAATAATCGTTGTTGATATCACAAAAGTTTGGTTTACGCCGATATAAAGAAACCTTTTACAAAAATATTTTTTCGTTTAAAAGGAAACATTATTTTATAATTGGGTACTTGCACTTTAAGAAGAATATCACACATACCCACACGTTACCAATGACGTCAGTACCAGTTGATTGCTTTATAACCGTCGTTGAACAGCCAACCCAATTTTTTGGGATTGCGATTTCTAATGTTCAACTCCGTAGACTTGTAATTTTGAACCCAATCCAGAAGAAAAGGGAACTCCTGGATCAAGTATTGGGAGAAATTTGCCTTCAAGGATAACTTTTTAATGGAACTAACCCGCATTACATATAGAGGGAAACCACGAAAACCTCCCACGGTTAGCCTGATGGCAAGGGGACTCTAACCCATAATCCGTCGACCACTGAGGATATTTTACGTCAGCACTGTGATCGATGCAAGCCGGATACGGATTTCATATCGACAAGCCGTCTCTGGGATTCGAACCCGGTCACCTCATTGAAAGGCGAAAGCTCTCATCCATCACGTATCAGTTGATCGTTTATAAGAAAAATGGCGAGTTAAAGTTGAGTTAAGTTTCTCCGCATAAATTAAGATGTTAATTAACGTGAAGTTAATTAGATACAGAGACATATCACACTTCGAATTTGTTGAAATCTAATTCTTTCTCGTCTATGTATTTCACTTAACTTAAGATTTATCATTTGTTTATGTATTTTATTATTACTGTGATATATTTTTGTTCTGCGCACCTGGCAACTGGATGCATAATTATTAATTTGTTATGTTCTACTTTGCTTCATGCCTGTTTTTGTGTTAAGTAAGAAATATATAGTGAAAGAATTGAAATCTTTATAAAATAATCATTGTGTAAAATTTATAGAATGTGTCACTTAAGAGAATTGATACTTGACAGGGTTGGATTACACGAAATAGCATGGAAAGAACAGTTGCTAATGTTAACAAATGCACATGCTTCAATAACCAATCATAATCGAGATACCCACACTACGTCACTTGCAGGTATCCAATTAGAAAAGGAAAACGATATCGAATCTACGACAACGAAAAGTCTTGAATGAAATTTACGCTAGGCTTGCATAAGTCAAGTTCCTTGTAAGTTTACCAAATTTAAGTATTAATAGTTCCATTTAAATATTTTTTCATTGCCACCAAATTATATTTTTATAAAATATTTAATTTTAATTTTTTTAGCTTCTATTTCATAAAGAAAAGAAAATGATAGAATGAAAAATTGAATTAACTGTAGAAAAATGTGTATGGTACAAAGGAAAATCAGGGCTCATAATTCAAAATTTTTTTGTCCAGTATTAAATTAAATAATAAATTGTTATTAGAAATTATTTTTGCACAAATCAATTTTTGGGCAAACGAGTTTCGTGAGTGAGTACAATTTTTCAAATACGTAAATTAGTTTTAAAGTTTTGCAAAAATGGAAATTAGCATTAAGGGAAGCAAACTTTCAACCACTTTCCTGACTAAACTATATATATAT